GGGGTGGCACTGCTGCAAGTGAGCGTGGAGCTGCCTCCGTCTCCAGAAGCGTCTTTCACATTCAGGACAAGCGACGGGCTGCCTGGCAGCAGTATGGTCTCGCAAGTGCAAAACCAGGGCAACCCAGCTTCTGAAGACCTGACCACATGTGTGGCAGGCAAAGCCCAGGTCTGAGGTGGCTGCAGCATGGACCTGGTGGTGCAATGCCAGGAAGGGTGCATGGCGGAAGCGGCGCCCACACTCAGAACAGGGCAGGGGCAGCCGGGCTTGGCACCACCGAGCATGAAGCCGCAGGGCTACCCTCCCTGGGAAGTGTCGCTTACAGTGGACACAGCGTTTGGCTCCATGTGGGGTTCGGCCACCCAGTGTGGCCCTCAAAGTGCCCAGTGACCTCAGCCCGCGGGGCTCCAGGGTCCGTGGTGACTCCTGGGAGGGCCCAGAGAGAAGCTGGTGCTGGGCAGGGGCCACAGCCAGGAAGCCCCTGCAGCGCCGTTCCAACATCACCTCTTGCTCTGTTGAGGGCAGAAAGCAGAGTCACTCAGAGCCCAAAGTGCCAGTCCGCGCTTCTTCCCACCAGCCCCACCCAGAGGGGCTCCTTGGACAGGTGGACAGAACCTCTAGGGAGTGTCTAATGTACATCTATCTATTCCCACGTTGAACGTGGAATGGACACTTTGTGGGACCCCTCACTGCACCCACTCCCTGCAAGTAGCAAACATGCGATCAACAGTAAACAACACAGCCCTGTCTACCTACAGTGCTTTATGATTTCCCAAAGCCACCTCCTTTCTCTTCTCCACTACATCTTAAGTGGCTCTAGAAGCCACAGACAGAGCAAAAAGAGGGCAAGGAAACCCAGAGCCGAACTGAAATCAGTTTTCTGAACTCCCAGTCCAGTGCTCTTTCTACGTAATTGGTTTGTGAAGACCTCACAGAGCTTCTCTCTACCCTTGCCTGGGCTGTACACTATCAGGGGAGCTGTTTGTATGCCTTCCATTCAACCAATCCTCACCCTAGAAACATGGAACGCCAACAGCAGTTCTTAGGAACAGGAGTAGTGGGTTATACTCCTGCCTGGCAACGCCTGTCCAGAGGAGGCTGCCCTGCTCCGCCCACATGATTAGGACATAGGAAGGCGGCAAGTTCTCCCGGAATCCACCCACCACCACCTACGTTCTGCTCCCTTGAGGGCCTGATCCCTGACCCTCCTTACTGCCGGATGTTGGGGGTTACTAGGTGAGAGAAGGGATGGGGGGAAAAGACTATAAATCTGTCCCTTGCCTCATCCAGGCCAGTGGCTGCCCCACTTACAGCTCTTTCTCGGGTCGGGGAGCTTCAGAGGACTTCTGTCACCTCCTCTGCAGATAAAGGCATATCCCCCTAAACTGCTCGGGCTCAGTTGACCCCCAACACAGGGCTCCCTCACCTGGCCAAGGCGGCTCGAGCTATTGCCTGCAGACCATCTACGAGAACAACAAACGGGACACAGGCTGGAGACTGCTTGCGAGAACAACAAAGGCCTGACTCTACCCTGAAGCCTGCTGGGCTGGGGATGTGGCTTGGTATAGCTCCGCCTGGGGTCACTCCTGTGACTGTGGCACCGGCTCCGCGCCCCACTCCGGGAGGCACCAGACGTCAGCGAGAACTGCAGCAACAGAGACACCCCTGCCCCCATGGCAGAGCTCAGCACTCCGGGTGCCTGGAGGCCAGCCTGACCTGCGGGTGGGGACGGACGCCTGAGACGGACGCCCCAGCGGTCATCTGGATCCTCGCTGCTGCCAGCGGCCCACCCCTCCCCCGCCAACAAAGCCGCGCTCTCCGGCTGAAAGCTGACAGAGTGACCTTAACGGACACAGACAAGGACCGAGAGCGCCCCCACGGAAATGCCCTGCTGCGCGTGACCATTGCCTCTCCGCCGCCCAGCGTGCACCCTGGGCAGCCGGGCTCCGGGCAGCTGGCAAAGCAAAGGCCGCCAGCGCCCAGCCCCTCCCCCCACTCCCCTGGCCGGACAAGGCCTGGTTCCCACGGGCAGCTCGGTCGCTCCGGCCCGCGCAGGGGCACCTCGGCCGCCCCCACCGCCCCGCGCCCGCA